GGTTGTTAACCAATGTCATAAAACAGCATGTGTGTTACTGTTACATGAGAAACTATCTGTTCTGTAAGCCTTCACCTGAAGTACAATAAAATATTTTAAAAAAAAAAAAAATTTTATTGATGTGAAATTCACATAAAATTAACCCTTTTAAAGTGAACAGTTCAGTGGTATTTAGTACATTCACCATGTTGTGCAGCCGTCACTTCTATGTAGTTCCAAAACATTTTCAGCACCCCAAAAGGAAACCCAAACCCATTAAGCAGTTACTGCTCGTTCCCTCCTCCCCCAACCCCACCCCGACCCCTGACAAACAACAGTCAGCTTTCTGTCTCTATGCGTTTACCTGCTCTGGTTATTCATAGACATGGAGTCATACGATACATGACTTTTGTGTTAGGCTTCTTTCACTTACCGTTTTTCAGTGTTTTCAAGGTTCATCTATGTCATAGCAGATATCAGTGCTTCATTTCTTTTTATGGCTAAATAATATTCCATAGTATGTGTGGATCACTATTTGCTTACCAATTCATCCGTTGATGGACATTTGGGTTGTTTCCTTAAAGTACTTTTAAGAATGTAAAGAGAACAATCCCACATTAGAATCAAAGTTCAGCAGTAAATTTAAGCACTGGTGGAATGAAAATATTCTCCAAGGTGGCCTCTGTATAGTGCTGTGTCATTTGGGGCATCACAATTTTGTAGGGAGTAGAGGCCCAATCATTCTTTTTTTCTAGATAGCGTTATCTTCAAGAATTAGTCATAAATTATTTGGTAAATGATTTAGCCACTAATGTGCATACATCTAGCGAAGCTCTAAAGCATTTGGAACTCCATCTGTGGGGGTGTTTTGTCCTCCTTTGTCTTACAAGGATTATTATGATGGCTCATATAGCAGCCAGATGTTGTTGTTGTTAGGTGCCATCGAGTCAGTCCCGACTCATAGCAACCCTGTGTTCAACGGAACAAAACACTACCCAGTCCTGCATCATCCTCATAATCATTATGTTTCAGCCCACTGTTGCAGCCACTGTGGCAATCCATCTCGTTGCAGGTCTTCTTCTTAGTCACTGACCCTATACTTTACCAAGCATGATGTCCTTCTCCAGGGACTGATCCCTCCTGATAACATGTCCAAAGTATGTGAGACATCTTGCCATCCTTGCTTCTGATGAGCGTTCTGGTTGTACTTCTTCCAAGACAGACTTGTTTGTTCTTCTGGCAGTCTACGGTATATTCAGTATTCTTCGCCAACACCATAATTCAAAGACATGGGTTCTTCTTTGGCCTTCCTTATTCATTGTCCAGCTTTCACATGCATATGAGGTGATGGGAAACACCATGGCCTGGGTCAAGTGCATCTTAGTCCTTAAAGTAATATCTTTACTTCTTAACACTTTAAAGAGGTCTTTTGCAGCAGATTTGCCCAATGCAATGCGTCATTTGATTTCTTGACTGCTGCTTCCATGGGCGTTGATAGTGGATCCAAGTAAAATGAAATCCTTGGCAACTTCAATATTTTCTCCGTTTATCATGATGTAGCTTATTGGTTCAGTTATAGGGAAAGAAAGAAAAGACTTAAATGGATGTCAGAGGGGACTCTGAATGTTGCTGTTGAACATAATGTAGCTAAAGCGAAAGGAAGAAATGACCAAGTAAAACAGGTAAACAGAAGATGTCAAAGCAGCTTGAGAAGACGGAGTAAAGTATTATAATAACATGTGCAAAGACCTGGAGATAGAAAACCAAAAGGGAAAAACACACTTGGCATTTCTCAAACTGAAAGAACTGAAAAAAAAATTCAAGCCTCAAGTTACAATATTGAAGGATTCTGTGGGGAAAATGTTAAACGACGCAGGAAGCATCAATAGAAGAAGGAAGGAATACACAGTCACTGTACCAAAAAGAATTGGTTGACATTCATCCATTTCAGGAGGTAGCATGTGGTCAAGAACTGATGGTATTGAAGGATGAAGTCCAAGCTGCACTGAAGACGTTGCCAAAAAACAAGACTCCAGGAATGATGGTGTCTTCGTCACCTGGTACTGCTCTAACAGAAATACCACAAGTGGATGGCTTTAATAAAGAGAAATTTATTCTCTCACATTCCAGTAGGCTACAAGTTCAAATTCAGGGTGTCACCTCCAGGGGAAGGCTTTCTCTTCTCTGTTGGCTCTGGAGGACGGTCCTTGTCATCAGGCTTCCCTTGGTCTGGGAGCATCTCAACTCAGGAACCTCAGGTCGAAAGGATGTGCTGTGCTCCTGGTGCTGCTCTTTTGGTGATATGAGGTCCCCAACTCTCTGCTTGCTTCCCTTTCCTTTTATCTCTTGTAAGAAAAGGTGGTGCAGGCGACACCCCAGGGAAACTCTGTTTACACTGGATCAGGGATGTGACCTTAGTAAGGGTGTTATAATCCCACCCTAACCTTCTTTAACATAAAATTACAATCACAAAATGGAGGACAACCACACAATACTGGTAATCATGGCCCAGCCAAATTGATATACACATTTTTGGGGGGGCATAATTCAATCCATGACAGGAAGGCGCAATGGAGGACTTTGGACAAGTTTAATTCAACAGTAGAGCTTAGATTTAAACCTGGAACAGTCGTTTTTGGTCATGTCAAGCATCTCAGTTTTAGAGTGCCCTCGCACAGCCATAACTGACTAACTGACCTTTGAATAAATGATTTGCAGTCTGTTTCCTAATACGGTCTCTTAGCTCTTGCAAATATTTGCAAGATGCTTTCCTGGAAAATTCCCTGAACAGTCGTTATTACAATCTTTACTGTTATAGCCTGCTGCAAAAACAATTCCTTCTTTTTATCTAGTTTAAACTGTACCACTTCTCAAGCCCCTCTGCAAACATGTCCAAAAACAATGGCTATGAGCTGCTTCTCTCAAAGTTGGTGATAAGCAGAAGGACAGCAGCCTAAGGTAGAGTTTCTAAAACAAGATGGAGTTTGGCCTGCACCATGGGCAGAAGCCTCTTTTATGCCAGGCACCTAGATTTTGGGGGGCTCTTACGCAGAGGTCTTCCTCTTTATGGGCAGTCTTTCAAACCCAGAATATTTATCATTTACAGAACGTACGGATGGAGCTTATAGATCCTCAGACACGATTAGACAGGTCTGTTTACATTTTCCACATTTCACTTATGTGACTATTGTGTTTATCATTTGACCGGAAAACGTGATCATATCAACTATGCTATCACTATTCAACCCTGCCTGAGCCTTTCTTTGACGATTTCTGTTAAATCATTTTTCATAGGTTGTCTACTTTTTAAGTGTTCTCTAAGACATATTTATGTCTTACTTCCTTTTTATTTCTTTAAACTGAGAATAACAACAAAGGAAATGTTCTTTTTAGCACAGTTCTTTTTAAATCAAATTAGACTGATTGAAGTATTCCCATTCCCAGTTGCCTTTAGGTTGATTCTGACTCGTGGTGACCCCACGTGTGTCAGAGCAGAACTGTGCTTCATAGGGTTTTCAACGGCTGATTTTTTCAGAAGTAGATCACCAGATCTTTCTTCCAAGGCACCTCTGGGTGGACTTGAACCTCCAACCTTTCGGTTAATAGCCAAGCATGTTAACCATTGCACCACCCACGGACTCCAGTTGAAGTATTAGGGGCTAAGAAGTAAATTAAAGCTCTTGTGCCCTCTTCCCTTTGGCATCACGTTGAATTGCAGAAGGCTGGACTATGGATTAATGACAAGCCACCTTGTCATCCTGTAGCTGAGTGTTCTCTGAACTTTTAAAAATTCAGTCTGGGCTTCTGGTCACAGTAGCATTTTGACATTTTAGAATTTAGCCTCATTTTCTGTAAATTCTGAACTTCAATTTCTGTTTTAAGGAAGCACAAATTCATCCGGTATTACAAATTCTGCAGCAGGTGTTGAGGATCTTAACATCGTTCAGGTGGCAGTTCCAGGTATGGAGGTTTATCTGACTTTATCATAGTTTATATTTTCAGTTTGTCTTAACTGTTTTATGTTGTGGGTGAGTCTCTTGGCAATGTTGTTTTTTGCTTAGTTCACCCTGACAACTAAGGAGTATAAACTGTGCTACAGGTCACCACGCGATGAATATCTTGCCCATAGCAGACAGTGTGATTCAGATATATTGCTTCTCCCAGCCGAGCCCCAGCATTACCTGGAAAATCCACCACAGGACAACTCCAAACACCAGCTACCATTGAACTGGAATTAGCCTCAGGGGAGAAGCTTATTGGCTACTCATCTTTAAGTAATCTTCTTTTCCAGATACGTGCATGTAAAATATATCCGGAAAGATTATGAAAGACTAATAGCACAGTTCCTCCAGGGAAAGAAACTGAAAGCTGGGATAGAGATGTGAGAGAGGCGTTTCCCTATGTATTGTTTTATACCTCTTGAATTTTGAAACGTGATTGCTTTAGTTATTCAAAATTAGATAGAATAAAAATTTAAAGTATTAAAAAATATTCCTTTCTGATCCTGATGCATCTTATTCCTTTTATTTGTCTTATTTCATTGGCTAGGATTTCCAGTACAGTGTTGGAGGGTAGTGGTAAAAGTGGACATCCGTCTCTTGCATGGTGTTGAAAATGTTCCCTAAAAGTAGTATGTAGTATTTTTACATAGGTTAAAATCTGGAAAATTCTCTATTGTCTATAAAGGTTTCCATTTGCAAATTTCCAAAATGCATAGTTAGCACTCAGACTAAACGGAATGATAAGCCAGGTGAAGTGCTTTCTCAGATGCTTACAGGCATTTCCTCCAACAACTTTCTTGTGGGAAAATATATGAATAATTCTGGCTTGTTTGTTTTGTTTAATTATTTTTAGATAATGAGAAGGAAAGATTATCAAGTGCTGAAAAGATTAAACAGCTAAGAGAACAAGTCAATGAGCTCTTTAGCCGAAAATTTGGTAAGTTGTTATATTACTAGATAACCAAAATTTATATACTTGAAATACTTCTTTTTAATTGAATACTTTGTCCTGTAAGAAATTGATTTTTCGTGAAGGAGCTACAATCAAAATCAGTCAATGTGTATTTTTTACTGAAGAGCTTTTACATGGAAACCCTGACTAATAACGATACTATAATATTAGCTCTCTTTGATTTATTGAATTCTTACCACAGTCGAGGGTTGTTTTTAGTGCTTGGCATGTGTTTAATCGTTCAATCCTCACAAAAACCTTCACAGGTAGATACTATGGTAATCTCTATTTAATGGATGGAGAAACTGAGTCCACTACACATTTGCAGTTTCAAAATCAATAAAATTATATCCATGGATCATAGTACTGCTGGAAATAAAGTAATCATGGCTGATCACCAGTGTTGTCAATTGGTTTGAATGATTTTAAAATGTTAACATTAAACATAAAGCACAGCTTGGCAAACGTAAGTGACAAACCTAAGACCAGAAGAACTAGATGGTGCCCAGCTACCACTATAGACCATTCTAACCAGGGTTTCAGTAGGAGGTCCTGGATAGAATGGGAGAAAAACGTAGAACAAAATTCAAATTCCTCAAAAAGGCCAGATCTACTGGATCAGCAGAGACTAGAGGAACCCCTGAGTGTCACCGTAAGATACTCTTTGAACTTGGCACTGAAGCTACTCCTGGAAGTCACCTTCCAGCCAAATAATAGATCGGCTTATAAAAATAATATCACCTGTGAGTAGCGTGCTCCCCTAAACAATCAACTGTATGAGACCAAAGGGTCAACGTTTACCCAAAAGTAATGATGAGAAGGCAAGGAGAGGAGGGGAAGCTAGATCACTGGAAACAGAACAGACAGATTGGAAATAATGAGAATGCTGACACATTGTGGAAATTGTAACCAATGTCCCAGAACAATGGGTAAAAATTGTTAAATGGGAACCTAATTTGCTGTGTAAACTTTCACCTAAAACAAAATATTATTCACCTAAAACACAATTATTATTAAAGGAAAAAAAAAAAGTAAGTGGCAAAGTCAACTCATTTTACACGGCTTGTCTTATCGCAGGTGAGGCAATTGGAGTCGATTTCCCTGTGAAAGTTCCCTACAGAAAAATCACATTCAACCCTGGATGCGTGGTGGTTGACGGCATGCCCGCGGGGGTGGCATTCAAAGCCCCCGGCTACCTGGAAATCAGCTCCATGAGGAGGATCTTGGATGCTGCCGAGTTTATCAAATTCACAGTCATTCGGTGAGTGAGTGTCCCTGCTTGGTCCCGAGAAGGCATCTGGAGGTTGGCAGGCTAAGTCACCTTCCCAGCAGGGACGTGCAGGAAAGGGTTTGCGGTGTGATGCAATGAGCAGGTGGAACACAGGTGCTTGTTTTGTTAGTATGAGGTTTTGTTCACATTCTCAGCCCCCAACTGGATTGTTATTAGATTCTGTATGTACGGAAAAGATGTTCTTCATTTGTTTCACAGTGACAGAAAGGGGCTCGATAAATCACTTGGACAGTTGTATTCCTGTCAAACCCTGTAGACGTGACTTTGAACTTGAGCTGTGGTTGTTAACCTCTTCAACTTCGTGCTCCCTAGAATGTTTTGCACTCTAACCCCCATCAAGCCTGTCGTGCCAGTCTCAATTCTGAGCAAACATATCTCCATGTTTCTTAGATCCCACTCTTTTTTAAAGAACAAAGGAAAAAAGAAAGGAGTGTAAGCATTGGCTTCCTTGCAAATGCATCCGGCCCAAGCCCCACCCATTGCAAATCCATCAGCCCCAACTCTGCCCTAGCCTGGTTGGCCTGCAATGCTTTAACCAGTTTTTGATTCATTCATAAATGACCCCCTTTCTCATTTCCCACAGTAGCCATTTCTACCACTTCCCCCACTCCCCATGCCTGGGTCACCCTCTGCCCACTTTCGGCAAATGATCTGGCTTCCCTGTTGCAGGCAGCTGGGGCCGCTCATGTGAGCTCCTCAGCAGTGGTGATGGTCCACTGCTTCTGCACCCCTGTCTTGGGTCAGTCCTCAAGCCTCTTCACTAACTCAGTTGATGGAGTCCACATTTACCTCCAGGCTCATAGCCTGCACTTGCCACCAGGGGGAGCTCTAAAGCACTCTTCAGACAAGTCAGCCACCCAGCCACCCACATCAAATATCCGCGGTCACCGCACTGTCTGCTGTTCACACCCTTTAGGACTGGCACTGACAAATCTATCATCTAACTCCTAACCCTCTTCTAGCCCTACCTAAGTAGAAGCTCAAATGGCCCCCCTCCACAAGACCTTTCTGCTTGAATCACTCGCTTCCTTCCTCACTTCCATAACTGATGATAATTGCAATTGCCAACACCTGCATGGCTATTCGGAGTCCTGGTGGTACAATGATTAAGCGCTCAAGATGCTAACCAACAGGTCGGCAGTTCAAATCCTCCTGGGAAACCCTGTGGGGCAGTTCTACTCTGTTCTGTAGGGTTACATTCACTGTGTGCCAGCCTGCTGGAAAAACTTTCTCATACAACCTTTTACTCCCTCCCCTCGGCAACCCAGAGAGGTAGGTACTGTTATAACCCCACTTTACAGATGAGGAAACTGAGGCAGAGAGCAGTCGAGTCACTTGACCAAGATCATGGGGCTGTTAAGTGACAGGACTGGGATTTGTGTCCCAGGAGCTGGCCCTGGGGTCCCTGCAGTTACTGCTGTGCCAGGCAGCCCCTCAGCTGCATTTTGTTGTGTTCTGCCTCTGCAAGGTGTGTCCCAGCTTCTGTTTCTGGGTGGTGGTGGTCAGCCTGAATCAGTCTGATCTCCCGCTGTACCTATCGTAGCGTTGACACTCAGCAGGAGTTTGTTGGATAGAGCTAAATGGACATCAGAGGAAAAATGAACTTTGTTGCATTCAACAATGTCTCTTTTCTCTTCAGACCGCTTCCAGGAGTTGAGCTTAGTAATGGTGAGTACTTTGTGTGGTGAGAAGAAAGTTCCAGCACCGTTTGTACTGTGTGAAGTGTCTCAGTGGGCCTTCACCACACGGTCCTTGCCTCCAGAGCCCTCAGCCTGGGTGCTGGCATTCCTCTCTTTACATGGACTTCACTTTCTCCTGTGTGTTGTAAGAATCTGTAATTCTGTTGCTTGAGTGTTATTAACCAGGCGTTTTGTTTTTCTTGTACAGCAGTTTGGTGTAGCTTACTTGTATGTCGCACACTCTTATTCGAGAGCTCGTTGTGCGAGGTGCCCTCTGTGGCCAGAGCACAGCCACACTTGTGGTCACAATACTGAAGACTCTGTGTCGGTTGGCAAATAGTGTCGCCCTGGCCGCCCTGCCCTACCTCAGGGCCCCCGGCCTCCCCACACTTCTGAACCAAAAGGTTGTGCCTGGCAAAGCCAGGGGCCCAGAGCCACCTCCAGTGCTAAGGCTGACATCTGTTCTGATGGGCAGTGCCCAAGCCGTTCTGCTTGTTAAATATTTCTAATGCTTCCCTGGAATGCTTGCAAGTAAGTCAGTACCCTGTGGGAGGTGAGGCAGTGGAGGTGGGGGTGAGTTCAGGTTCAAGTCACTAGGGAGCCCCCTCACTTACAGCTTGAAACCTGAAGTGTTGGTTGTTGGTTTAATGCTAAATCATTATTTCTAAATTCGTCTAGTTGTTAAATGACTTTACATTTTTAGTAGCTTTATTGAGGTATAACTTACACACCATGAAACTCACTTGTGTTGAGAGATGTTTAGTAATGCTTTTTAGTAAGTTTACAGAGTTGTGCAACTATCGCCACGTTCTAATTTTAGAACATTTCCATTACCCCAAAGAGATTCCTCCTACCCATTTCAGTCACTTCCCATTTCCACCCTCAGCCCCAGACGACCACTGCCTTTCTGTCCCTATAGATTTGCCTACATTTTCTTAAAGTGTATTTTTCTCTCTGTGTTCTCTCGAAGCACAGCTTACCTGCATCGTAGCTGGGCCTTTAAACTTAGCCCACTGGCACGTTTTCCCTTGCGCGTGTTTGTCTGCACAGGTGCTGTGCAGCTCTGTGCGGGGCCAGTGTCTGTTGTGACCCACAACACGTGAATCATAAGCCTTCTGTGCTTGTCCTTCTCTGTGACTTCAAAGGTGTCGTGAGAATCAAATGAGAAAAGATACGTTAACATGCAGATATACAGTACTGCCACACCGTTCCTCTTTAAGCCAGATGTGGCAAACGGTCACTTGCTGAACCTCACCCATGATGTCTTTTGTTTGGCTTATATACCTTTTAAAAGTGGAAATTGTGACCAACATTGAAAAGCCAGGCATTTTTCATAAAAATCGAGATTTCCAGGTTTCCTTTAGAAATGTCAAGAGCTGGTGGCAGTGAGCCCACGCTCCCTTGTGGCCATGGCTGCCGGAGGTAAGTGGCAGCTCCCCCTCTAGGCTACCCTGCCCAGCCACTCTGTCCTTCCCAATTATCTGCATGCTGTACTGTTGTTTTTCTAATACTGAAGTTAAGAGAAAAGTGACATATTTCTTGTCCCCATGTCTCTATCAAAAGTGGGAAAACGAAAGATAGATCAAGAGGGCCGAGTATTTCAAGAAAAGTGGGAGAGAGCATACTTCTTCGTGGAAGTGCAGAATATTCCTACATGCTTAATATGCAAACAGAGCATGTCTGTGTCAAAAGAATACAACCTAAGACGCCATTATCAAACCAACCACAGTAAGCATTTTGACCAGTATACCGAGAAGATGCGCGATGAGAAGCTTCACGAGCTGAAGAAGGGACTCACAGAGTATCTCTTAGGGTCAACAGAAATTGTGTGTCCTGAGCAAAACCAAGTATTTGCAAATGTGAGTCCTGCAGAAAACGCTGTTGTGCAGCCTGTAGAAGACGTGGCTGGGAATTTGTGGGAGAAGTTACGTGAGAAAATCAAATCGTTTGTGGCGTATTCTATTGCGATCGATGAGATCACAGATACTAACAATACCACCCAGTTGGCCATCTTCATTCGTGGTGTCGATGAGAATTTTGATGTGTCTGAAGAACTTTTGGATACAGTGCCCATGACAGGTACAAAATCTGGAAATGAGATATTTTTACGTGTTGAGAAAAGTCTGAAAAAGTTTAATATTGACTGGTCGAAATTAGTAAGTGTGGCCTCAACCGGCACTCCTGCAATGATCAATGTAAATGACGGACTTGTTACAAAGCTGAAATCCAAGGTGGCGATGTCTTGCAAGGGCTCCAATCTTAAGTCTGTTTGTTGCATTATTCACCAGGAATCACTTTGTGCTCAAAAGTTGAAGATGGACCACGTCATGGATGTGGTGGTTAACTCGGTGAACTGGATATGCTCCCGAGGACTGAACCACAGAGAGTTCACAACTTTGCTTTATGAACTGGACAACCAATACGGCAGCCTTTTGTACCACACAGAGATTAAGTGGCTGAGTCGTGGGTTGGTGCTGAAGAGATTTTTTGAATCATTGAAAGAAATTGAGTCATTCATGTTATCTAAAGGAAAACCTGTGCCTCAACTGAGCTCTAAAGATTGGATCAAAGACTTGGCTTTCTTGGTTGACATGACAATGCATCTAAACACTTTGAACATATCTCTACAAGGGCACTCGCAAATAGTTACACAAATGTATGACTTGATTCGGGCATTCGTCGCCAAACTGTGCCTTTGGGAAACTCACTTGGCCAGAAATAACCTGGTCCACTTTCCCACCCTGAAGTCCGTTTCCAGAGATGAGAGCGATGGCCTGAACTACATCCCCAAAATTGCAGGATTAAAGACTGAGTTCCAGAGAAGGTTGTCTGACTTCAAGCTCTATGAAAGCGAGCTGACCCTGTTCAGCTCTCCTTTCTCCATGAAGATCGACAGTGTGCACGAAGAGCTTCAGATGGAGATTATTGATTTGCAGTGCAACACGGTACTGAAAACTAAGTATGACAAGGTTGGAATACCAGAATTCTACAAATACCTCTGGAGTAGCTACCCAAAATATAAACACCACTGTGCCAAGATTCTGTCCATGTTCGGGAGTACCTACATTTGTGAACAGCTGTTTTCTATCATGAAACTGAGTAAGACTAAGTATCACTCCCAGCTAAAGGATTCACAGTGGGACTCTGTCCTGCACATCGCATCGTAATGAAGGGAAACCTTGACTGGAACCCTCTAGTCGTAAGGGATTGTGAGATGAGAAAATGAGTAACTATTTCTGGTTTTCAGTGTTTTCCCTTTTGAATTAGAAATATAATTTGCAGTATCACACCTGTTTGTATGACATTTTATGCTTCACCATAGTTCAGTAAAACCAGGAAAGTTTTATTGTGTTTCTAGCAGTTGATTTTTCTTATGTCTGGCTTGTTTCCTTCATTTACCTTACCTGCTGATCCTGGAGTTGGCATCTCGAAGTTAAAATCAACAGAGAAGTAGAGACAGATGTGTGTATTCATTTAGGGGTGTATGTGCACACAGATTTATTACCACCACCCCCATTTGCATGATAGACCTGCTGCAACATCGCGTTACCCCACATGGTCTAACGCGCTTCCAAGTTCACGCCTGAGGAGGATCACTTAGAGATGTATCCATGCGCTCTGGTATTTCTGTATTATCTGTCTCTTCCTCCAGCTTAAAATAGAAAACCCCAAAACAAATAACATAGACGATAAAAGACAAAATAAATTGAAGTTTTCTTTTTTCTGATGTTTTAATTTGAAATAATTTCAAATTTACAGAAAAGTTGCAAAAATAGAAGGAACATTATGTTCTGCTACCCAGATTTTTATATTAACATTTTACTGCTGTGCTTTATGATTTGTTCGCCCTCTCACTCGTCTCTTTCTCATAGACAGACAGACAGATAGATGATAGATAGATACATAGATGATAATAGCTAGATGATAGATCGTAGATAGATAGATAAAGGCAAATATAGACATAGATATATGTATATACACATAAACCAGACTCATTGCTGTCAAGTCGATTCTGACTCATGGTGACCCCATGTGTTACAGAGTAGAATTGCTCCATAGGGTTTTCTTGGCTGTAATCTTTGCAGAAGCAGATCTCCAGTCCCTTCCTCCACAGCACCACTGGGTGGGTTTGAACCACTAGCATTTATGTTAGTAGTCCAGCACAAACCATTTGTTCCACATAGGGACCTGTGTACATATATGTTGTTGTTGTTAGGTGCCATTGAGTCTATTTTCAACTCATAGTGACCCCATGTGACAGAGTAGAACAGCCCCATAGGGTTTTCTATGCTGCTGTAATCTTTACAGGAGCAGATTGCCATATCTTTCTCCTGCAAAGCTACTGGGTGGATTCGAACTGCCAACCTTTGTGTTAGCAGGCAAGCACTTAACCGTTGCACCACCAGGGCTTTTTCATACACACACACACACACACACACACACACACACACACACACACATATACACACATACATATGAGTCTGTAATGTGTGTGAATGGATGCCTATGAGTGTTTGTAATGTGTATGTAAATACCCATGCATAGGTTTGTTCTGAGCCATCTGAGGGAAGGACCCTCCTGGCACTTTACTCCCGATACCTCGGGGTGTTTCCAAAGAAGAGGGGCATTCTTTACACAGCCATGGCTCAGTTATCAATGTCAGTGACTCCAACACTGATACAACACTCTTAGCTAACGGACCGCCCCCAGGCCAGTTTGGTTGGTTGACCCAGTAACGTCCTCTGCAGCATTTTCCCGAGGAGGGTTGTCTTTTGAAGGCACACATGCATCTGTGCTCCTAATCTCAAAGGATTGTGAGGATGGCGCAAGACTGGACAGTGTTTCGTTCTGTTGTACATAGGGTCACTGTGAGCAAGAACTGACTTAACAGCACCTAACAACAACAACAGTCTCGAAGAGTCATTGAAATTGGTGACCCAAAATTGTGCATACTTTTCGGGTGGTGTGGGGGTGGTAATCTGCCTGGGATGGAGAAAGGCTGAGGATCCTGCCCCAATGACCACTCCCCAGAAAGCAGGAGGGAGAGCCCAGCCTCCAGCTATTGGTACCTGCACAAGGACCCAGCTCCACGTGGGTCTCAGCTATCCTCAGACAGGAGGAAAGGACCCGGCCCTGGGCAGTTCCTGTCCTGGGAGGTTTACTGTAGGCTAGCTCTGAGGCTCACTTCTGGGGCAGGAACCCCAGATGGACTGGTTTATAATGGGGGTTGGGGGGAGAGGACCAGCCTGTGGTGTGTCTGAGCAAATGTTGAAAGGCAGCTGAGGCTCAGAGTGGCTAAGTGGCCTGTCCGAGGTCACACAGCTGGTGGAGGAGTCAGGATTCAAACCGAAGTCCATGTTCTTCCATTGCTAAGTGGCCACCATGCCTGCCGTGGAGGCCAAGCAGGTGTCTGTCATGCAAACTCAGCTTGTCATCTGCCACTGGTGGGGCTCCATGGTGGTTAGTTAGAAGACAATGATGACAGCTGCCTTCTGTTGATAGGACCATCCTTTGAGTCAACCCCTAAGGCTGCACATTCCTTCTTGGCTCTGGAATGTGTGTTGGGACCAGGATGGTTTGGGGTGAGGTGGCCACTGACCAGCTCTGTCACTCATCAGACAGAGACTGAGCTGAGACTCTGTGGGAAATGAAAGAATGAGGGGTAGTTTTCCTAGTCGTGTTGGGGTGTCTGCAAACAGTGCCCAAGTGGCAGGGCGGGAGAGGTGTGGAGGGGCCCAGGCTGGAGCTGTGGGCTGGCTTTGGTGGGTTCCTGGCAGGGCCCAGGGTTGGAGGGTGCACGGTGTCTGTCCTGGGGCTCTGTCTTCCCATCCCTCAGGACCCCTCAGCGGGGCACCCGCCACAAGGCCCAACCCCAGATCACGGGCTCTGTGGGGTCAGGATAATGTAATGGACCCAGAAAGAAAAACCTGGGTTCTCCTCCCGGCTCTGCCACCTACTTGCAGTATTACCTTCAGCAAATCACCTACATTTTCTGTGTCTTGGTTTCTCTGTCTGTAAAATACCTACCTGATGGGTCGCTCACAAGTAGAAAGGGCCCAACGCTACCGTGGCCCAAGGACAGACAGGGCAGCCCTTACTCAGACAGACTCAGGGCCGTGCCTTTCTCTGCCCCCTCACCCCCCTTTGTGTTCTCCCACATGCTTCCTGCGGGACCAGAAATACAGAGAAAGCGTGGATAACCGTTGGAGTGGGACTTTAGCTTAAAAATAAGGAGCCCTGGTGGTGCAGTCGTTAAAGCAATCTACTGCTAACCAGAGGGTTGGCAGTTTGAAACCACCAGTGGCTCCGCCGGAGAAAGGTGTGGCAGTCTGCTTCCGTAGAGATTACAGCCTTGGAAACCTTATGGGGTCCCTATGAGTGGGAATCGACTCAACGGCAGTAGGTTTGGTTTTAGCTTAAAAATGAAAAGACACTTGTTTTTCTTGAAAATATTTTTTAAATCTTATACTGTATGTAACAAAAAGGTTAAAATTGCAACTGAACAAGCAAAAGGGTGGGTGGTTTGTGCTTAAGTTTTCCAGCAAACCAAACAAACCAAACCAGTTACCACTGAGAGGATTCCAACTCATGGCGACTCCCTGTGTGCCAGAGTAGAACCATGCTCCACACGGTTTTCAGTGGCTGATTTTTCAGAAGTAGATCACAAGGCGTTTCTTCTGAGGTGCTTCTGGGTAGATTAGAACCGCCAGCCTGGTTAGCGGCCAAGTACTTAACCATTTGCACCACCACCCAGGAACTCCTAGCAAACAAAGGTTTGCAAAAACAGTTGAGGAATCCCGTAGTTTTCTCAAGGCCTCTCTCAATCCTTTGATGGTCCAGTTGTTCTCTTGAAAAGCATCTGTCATCCTTGCCAATTTTCTCATCTAAGGGGACCAGCCTTGCCCATCCTCACTCCAGGCTCCAAGGCTGCCATTCTCACCCATGGCGGTCAGGACAAGCTGCATCTTTTGCCAAGGTTTGCGGCTCCACTGCGCCCTCACTTGGCACTGCAATGGCTTTGCATTTTGGGAAAGACCCACCTGCAAAGGCTTTGAGGCCAGTGAGGGTCTGTTCATCAGTGAATATTTGCTTTCTGGTACGACGTCCTAACTGGGGCAGGGTCTCTGAATAATCACAATGTTTTTGTCCCAGCTACAACTTGCTACCGTGCACACACAAGCTCACAAACCCGCTCTGACGGCCTGCCGCCCCACCGTGTCCACCCTCCGTGGTCCTCTTTCGCAGAGGGCCAGAGTTCCGGCAGTTTCTGTCCAGAGAGGGCCAGCGGGGCGGGGGGGGAGTTCCTCTCTGCACTTGGCCTTGTGCAAACCTGTTCTTGACCAAGACCAGGGCAGGGTGCAACCGGCTGCGGCCGGGACCTCTTGCGCCTTCCTACAGCAGAGATCAAAGCCCCTAGTGCTGATTTTACAACCACCACCAAAGGCAGAGTCTCTGTACATTACAAGCAACGTTTATTGAGGGTGGCGGGTAGCCAGGTTGGACGGCAGGTATATACAGGGAGCCTTCCTGGAGCCAGGAGCGGGAAAGGGGACGGAGAGGCCAGGATGCCGTCTGGGGCGGCTCAGACGGCCGACGCCAGCTTCCGCTTGGTGCTCTCGCTGCAGCGGTGCAGGATAAGGTCGGCGCTGGGCCGCGGGGGCACCGCGGGCTGTGGCTTCGGACGCTCCGCCTGCGGCTGCTCCTCTGCGAACCGACAGCGCGGCAGTGAGGGACCCAGTCCCCC